CGAGCAATAATAACCCAAGAGAATGGTGGAAGGCAGTGATGTACTCCTATTACTATTACATACAACCACTGTTGACTAAAAAATGGTGAAGACCAGGCCAAGCATGCACCATGAAGACGCAGTCTCCACCAACCCCCCCCTCCCATCCTCTCCCCGCTCTCAACCCCCCTGGTCATGTCTAGCGACGGCAGCCGAATTGCGAAGCTCGTCGTCGTTTTGGGTCAAAAATTCCGAGCCACACTCTCGAAGGATCGCGCTCATCAGGGATCGCCTCTCCTCGCCTCTTTGTCTCTGTGCCTCGTGGGCAAAGTAACATGGGAGTTCGGACAATATACGACCATGGCCGTACGCGGCCTCCAGGACGCTTGAGGCGGGTAAACGGATGGTGACACGATGATCCCTGTGACGTCTTGGTGCAGTTCGCGAAATAAGAGCTTCGCTGTGGCTCTGCTCTCTCTCTCTCTCTCTTGCCTCGTACCAAGGTCTTCCGTTGACGGAACGTTGCCAAGCTCTCGGGTGCCCCTTGTGACGCTCACCATGTGCTCTCACGGAGCTGACAGCCACGACCACGGCGCGCCGCCGCCGGCCCCCGCCACCACGGCCAAGCCGTACCCCCTCAGAGCCCCGGCGCCTGTTGGGAAGAAGATCACCTCCCTGTACAAGAAGCGACTGGTCAATTTTTTCACGCCGGGACAATGGGAGAAAGTCAACCTGTTGGCGTATGAACTAGCCTGGCACTCTCCTGTCATGCATGGCGCGCCCTACTGACGCGACACACCACACAGGTCGTTGAATCACGGCGCCTACTCCAGCGCACCACACGTCAAACTCTCCGTCTGGGACGCACCTGGCACCACGCGTCCTACGTTTCTCGAGGCGACGGCCGACGCCAACGCGTTCCGCGACGCGCGGGTCGGCGAAGCCTTTGGCCCCTCGTGGACGACGCACTGGTTCCGTTGCCAACTCACGCTGCCCGAGGCCCTCTGCGACGAGGGCGTTCACGTCGAGCTTCACTGGGACTGCAACAATGAGGCTACCGTGTGGACTGCCGACGGCGAGCCGCTTCAGGGTCTCACCGGCCGTGGCGAACGCGTCGAGTGGGTCGTCCCCGCGTCCTTCAAGGACGGCAGAGAGCACGTCGTCTACCTCGAGATGGCCTGCAACGGCATGTTCGGCAACGGACCCGGTAGGCCCATCTTCAAGAACAATGCCGGCGGCGACTCGATCCAGCCGCCGGACCAGGACAAGTACTTCAAGCTTGCCAAGGCCGAACTCGTCGCCGTGAACCTCCCGGCGAGGATGCTGCACATGGATTTCACCATTATCAACGACGCCGCCATGGAGCTGGCCGAGGACACGTGGGAGCAGCACGAGGCGCTCAACGTGGCGGGCAGGATCATTGACACGTTCAGAGTCGGCGATGAAAGCTCCATCGCCAAGTGCCGCAAGATTGCCGCCGAGTTTCTCGGTGATGATATCGATTCGCCGGCCGTGTATGAGACCAAGCTGGACCGGAGGCCGACCATCTATGCCATTGGGCATTGCCATATTGACACGTGCTGGCTCTGGCCGTGGGCTGAGACGAAACGCAAGGTCGTCCGATCGTGGTCGAACCAGTGTGACTTGATGGACCGCTATCCCGAGCTCAACTTTGCGTGCTCGCAGGCGCAGCAGGTCCGTGACGCCGAGTCTGCCTCGAAATTCCGGGAAGCATACAGTAACTGACCTACAGTAGTTCAAATGGCTCAAGGAGATTTACCCCTACGGCTGGGAGCGCGTCAAGGCCAAGGTCAAGTCTGGACAGTTCCACCCCATCGGGGGGTCCTGGGTTGAGCATGACACCAACCTGCCCTGTGGCGAGTCGCTCGTGCGTCAGTTTCTCTACGGCCAGCGCTTTTTCGAGGCCGAATTTGGATTCCGCTCGACGACGTCTTGGCTGCCGGACACGTTTGGCTTCTCGTGCCAGATTCCTCAGATTTGTCGGCTGGCTGGCATGCCGAGGTTCATGACGCAGAAGCCTTGCTTCAACAGCGTCAATGAATTTCCTCACACGACATTCAACTGGTACGACTACACGCGTGGTTCGATGCGAGATGCATGGCTGACCTCGTCTTGGTATTAGGGTTGCACTCGATGGCAGCCAGGTGATTTGCCACATGCCTCCGTGCAAGACGTACACCGCCGAGGCCAACTATACCGATATTACGAAGAGCATCTCCAATCACAAATCCCTGGATCAGGACAACACGGCTCTCATGGCTGTAAGAGCGCTTGCCCCTGGGTGCCTTGTCGCATGGTCTCTGGTTGCTAACCAATTGGGCTACAGTTCGGCAAAGGCGATGGCGGTGGCGGCCCGACGTGGCAGCACTTGGAGAGGATGAGGCGACTCCGAGGTATGGCTGATACCACGGGCGTCATCCCCCGCGTTCACGCCGGTGCGACGGTTGATCAGTTCTTCGATCGTCTCGAGAAGAAGGCCTCGAGTCTCGTGACGTGGTATGGTGAGCTCTACTTTGAGCTGCACCGTGGCGTGTACACTACGCAGGCGCGTACCAAGCTGCACAACCGCAGCTCCGAGATTCTCCTGCACGACATTGAGCTGCTCGCGACGATTGCTTCGATCCAAGATAAGGGGTACAAATACCCGAAAAAGGAGCTCGATGAGATGTGGCAAGGCGTCCTGCTCTGCCAGTTTCACGACTGCCTTCCTGGCACTGCTATTGAGATGTGTTACGATGACTCGGAAAAGGTGAGAGCAAGCAGGAGGCATTTTCTTTCTCATGAAGTCAAGAGAAAAGTGACTGACGAGTGATAGATTTACGCCAATGTTAAGGAGACAGGCGTGGTACTTTTGCAGCAAATCTTCACCGTTCTTGGTGTCGACACGAATGCTGCCGTCGATATTCAAAGTCTCGAGTCCGCTGTTGCCCTTAACACGCTGCCGTGGCCGCGTAAGGAGCTGATCGACGTTTCGGAGACGGAAGTCGTGGTCGCTTCCGGCGAGGGTCATGCGCTTGCTGTCGAATCTTTCCAGACCTCCTCCGACAACGACAAGGCTGTCACCGTCCAAGAGATCACACCCGGCCTGTTCCAGTTACAGAACGCTCATTTAACTGTCAAGGTCGAGAACGGAGCCATAACGTCTGTCTACGATCGCCGAGCTAAGCGGGAGACGCTGGCCGGCAAGGCGAACCAGTATGTTGTCTTCGACGACAAGCCGATCTACTGGCAAGCGTGGGACGCCGAGGTGTACCACTTGGACACGCGTGAAGAACTGAGCAACTCGAATACCACGATCCACGAGGACAAGGGCCATCGCGCGAGCGTCGTGACGGCGACGCGCATCAGCGAGAACAGCTCCATCAGGACGACTATCTCCCTCACATCCGCCCTCGACGAACAGCCATCTCTCATCGAGGGCACTGCAGACGTTGATTGGCACGAGACGATGAAGTTCTTGAAGGTTGAGTTCCCGGTCAAGGTCAGCAACACTGAGGCCTCTTACGAGACGCAATACGGTGTCATCAAGCGACCGACGCATTACAACACCTCGTACGTTCACTCCCGGGTCCTCAAGGCGCTTGAGAAGCATGCTTTCGTGCATTTAGCTAACCGGAACAGATGGGACATGGCCAAGTTCGAAGTCTGCTGCCATAAATTTGCCGACCTTTCAGAACACAATTACGGCGTCTCCATTCTCAACGACAGCAAATACGGCTTCGCAACGGTTGGCAACGTCATGCGCCTCTCGCTGCTAAGATCACCCAAGGCACCCGACGGCAACGCCGACATGGGCCGCCACCGGATTCGCTGGGCCATGATGCCGCACCGCGGAGGGCTCGGTGCGCCGACCGTGCGCGCCGCGTTCAATTTTAACAATCCCCTCCGTCTCGTGGCCACTCCCCAGGGCAGGCCGAATGTACTGGCAAATGCCCCGATTGCGCTCACCGGAGATGACAACCTTGTCTTGGACTGGATCAAGCGCGGCGAAGATGACGAAGACGTGTCGCTCGATGACCTCCCGAAGAGAAAGAGCAAGAGTGTTGTCGTGCGGGTGTATGATGCCGTGGGTGGTTTCTCTAGAGGAACGATCAAGACGAGGTTTGCGGTGGATAAGGTGTTCAAGACGAACATCCTTGAGGATGATATCGAGGAGGTTGCTTTTGAGGGCGGCTCGTTTGATATTTCGCTGGAACCTTTCGAGATTGCGACGTACCGTGTTTTGTTGAAGGACTGACTGGACGTTGATGTTGCATAGTTGGGCGGCAGTATGGTGTACATGAAGTAGGGTTCGGCGGAATAAGCCCGATCCCCGAAGACCAGGGGTTTAGCTCTGGTGAAGCAGAAAGCTGTTGTCTTTGAATGCAGCTATCACTTCAATGACAGTGTTGTCTTTCAGCAGGTCTACCCACGTGCCTGGACACGCAGGTTCGCCATCACCTTGACTCTCTTCTGGAAGCTCCGCCTCCCGTCATCCGAAGCACAAGCATTGACTCAACACGGCCTTCGACAGCACAAACACCGCTTAGATAAATAACTCTCCGCTCTACAAAATGACACAACCTCATGGTCGAGATCGCGACGCCGTGGCCGTATAAGCACTTTCCGGCACGCTCACTCCCCAACCGTCCCGTCTCGGCGACCCCTGCAGGCTTGCCCGCCCCATCGACAGACCATCCTCGCCATCCGAAGACCTCCTGTAAAACGTCTCCTTGATGTCCGACGCGTCGTCGTCGTCGTACGACATGCGCGGCACAGTCTCGACCTCTATACGCACCGTCTTGCTGATGGTGAGTTCCCGCTGCGACTCCCTCCTCCCCACGGTCCCGTCGCCGCCTCCAGCCGTCGCTGCTGCTGCAGCGGTCGACCGCCGGCTGAGGACGAGGCTCTCGTGCCGTCCGTAGGGGTCGCGGCGCGAGGGGTTCGAGCTCGAGAGCTGCAGGCGGCCCCCCGAGGCCGAGGGGTAGCCGCTCTTTCGGTGGTGGTTGTAGTTGTTGTTGTTGTTGTAGTTGTTGCCGTAGGAGGACCAGCCGAAGCCCCAGTTCTTGAAGAGGGGGCGGAAGGTGGCGACGCAGGCGGCGGTTATGCCGAGGGCGGGCTCCATCACGGACCAGATGGCGACGTCGCTGTGCGTGGTGGTCAGAGGGGGGGGGTTGGACTGGAGGAGAACGGGAGGGGGGCTCGGGGGTGTTCTTTGAGGGTGCGAGAAAGGAAACTCACATGGATCGGTAGAGGAATTCGAGGCCGGGAGGGAGGCGGGTCACGTAAGGGATTCGAACGAGCAGGACGACGCCAGCGCTTGGGTTCGTCAGCATCCAACTTCTGAAAACTGCCTTCCAGCGAGAAAAAAAAAAGGGGGGGGCAGGGAAGGAGGCGGAGGAGGCTCACATCATGCCGAGACTGAGGAGCACGGCAATGGTCACCTTGGTCCGGCCGTTGATCTTGACGTTCCACAGCAGGGCAATGGGCAGCAGGCCGAGGCACCAGTCGGACAGGCAGCTGACGCAGCTGTGAACGGTGGTGGCGTAGGTGACGATGAGCTTGCTGTAGCAGTGGCCGTCGGTGCCGTAGACCTGGGTCCAGAAGTGCGAGGGCGGGCTGCACTGGAAGACGAGGATGAAGAAGAAGGCGGCCGAGATGGCGGCGATGACGGCCAGGTTGGCCCAGATGATCCAGCGGTGCGCGCGCGACGTCGCGAGGCGCAGCAGCAGCACGCAGACCGAGGCGCGGATCGTCAGCGTGATGGGCGCGTACAGCACCATGCAGAGGTACCAGCCGCGCAGCGAGCGGGCCGCCTGGTCCATCGTGTAGCGGAGGGCGTAGTGCTTGCCTGTGGCGCCGTTGATGGCGCCGTCCATGGCGATGGTCGCGTAGGCCACGTAGCCGGCCTGCGAAGAAGAAAGGGCCCAGAGTCAGCAGGGCCTACGAGCGATGATCTGAATACAAGACATGGCCTGGATGCCTCGAGCGGAGAGGAGAGGGGGGCGTACGAAAGCTGCATAGATGAGGTAGTCATCGAGGGCATTGTGCCTGACGAGGAACGTCTTGACGTAGATTCGGATCAAGACGCTGATGCCGGCCACGAGAAGGAACACGAGCTGGACGTAAAATAGCTCATGACTGCGGTCCAGCTTGGCGGGCAGTTCGCCGGCGACAGCCATGGCCGTGAGAGTGATTTCGCCGCCAAGACAGACGACACGGACCGACGTCTTTCAGCGGACAAGGTGGAACGAACTTGTCAAAAACCTTCTTCGGAAAGGAAAAATGAAGGAGGGAAAGATGAAAAGCGACACCTGCAGATGAAAATGCAAGGAGTACCAGCCCTACCCTTAAGATGCCATGCGAGAGCGAGAGGGACAAGCGGGCGCATATGGCGTGCCTTGCAGCACCGTCAGCGCAGAGTCTAGATCTCGCAGGCCAACAGACCCCAGGCTCAGACACACGGACGGAGGGAGCGCCAGCCTTACCAGGCCTGTATCTGGGGTCTCTTCCCCGGATCTAACCTCTCGCAGCTGTTGGTCCGTCCACGGCGCAGAGGATGCTTCAGAAGGCATGGCGCCATGGGAGCGGTGCGCCTCTTTTAGCCGTCGCACATAGTTCCGGGGTAGGGTCGCAGCGATCTCAGAACGGCCGGCCGGGCTACCACACAAGAGAGTCTACTGGGTCGCAAAAGGTTGCATGTTCCGTCGTGCTGGGTCGAGAGCAACACGCAGACTGTCGAGCTCGCACTTGCGTCATTCCCGCGGCACGAGGTCTTCAGCCGTCAACGAGGAACGACGACCCAACCGAGGCACGGTTACGGTCTCACGGCCACACCCTCAGCGTTCAGGACCACATGGAAACGACTTGGGATGGCAGGTAGACAGGTAGGCAGACACACAAAAGAGACGAGATGGACGTGCGCCACGTTCAGGGGTTCCCCGGAAGGAGGGGAACGTTTGTGGACAAGATCCGCAAACTGCTTCCCCTAGCGTGCGCCGGGATGCGACAACTGCAGGGGCTAAGAAGAGGTGAGACTAGCTGTTATCGCCAGAGCAGAGGAGAGACAAGGAAATCCACGAATGAGGTCATTTGGGGGTAGCCAACATGTAGGAACAAAAAAAAAGGGGCGTCGTGTAATGCTGTGAAAACCATTCATTCCCCCGCTGGGCCGTCTGTTCCGGGGGTTCAGGTGAGGGCCCAGACACACGGGTGACGCTCCATGTGTTCATTTGACTCGGCGATCTAAAACTCTCGTGTCAAAGGATGCATTTTGTCTGCCCACTCCTCCCCCCTACGCCAGCTGCGCGATCCACTCGCCCACAATCTTGTTGACGCCCGCCGCAGCTTGCCAGAGAGCCCAGTGAGACGAGACGACCTCGCCCCTGGCCAGCCCCTCGGGGAAGTACCTCTCCATGCCCGCCGACATGGAAGGCCGCAGCGCCGTGTCCATGGTCGCGCCAATGTACAAGCCCGGCATGGTGAAGTTGAGGCCAGCGTCGTCGCCCCGCCTGAGCAGGGGCCAGCTTCGTCCTTTGAAGTTGGCCTCGGCCGTGCGGAACCAGCTCAGGGGCCCGCGCATCGTGTTCCTGGCGTACTCGGCGACGTAGTACTCGAGGCCCGCCGCCTTGACGAGCGGCGACGCGCCCAGACGGTCCAGGTTGCTGAAGTTCAGACCTGTGCGGCCGTCGAAGCCGAAGGCGCCCTCGGGCGCCCTGCCGCCGTACAGCGCGAGCGGGGCTGTCGGATCTTGTTGGTGCCGCGCACTTTGGCGCCAAGGGCGCGTCGCGGAACTGCGCTGGAAGCCAAAGCTGGGCGGTGATGCCGGCGCGATCTGTCGCGAGTCGACGTAGTTGCTGTCGGCGGGAAGTACGGCGTCGCACGCTGAAGATGCCCCTGTAGAGGTCGGGTGCCAGAGGGCGGCGCGGTAGACGAGGGCGCCGCCCCAGTCGTGGCCGCCGAGGATGACCTGCTCGTGGCGTCCGACAATGCTCCTCACGAGGGCAGCCAGGTCGTCGGACATGTTCTTGAGCGTGAAGCGGGCGAGGTTGGTCGGCGCGCTCGAGCGGCCGTAGCCCAGCATGTCGGGGGCGACGACCTGGTAGCCGGCCGCCGTGAGGGAGGGGATCTGGTAGCGCCACCCGTACGACAGGTCGGGAAAGCCGTGCAGCAGAACAATGGTGCCGAGCGGCGGGCCCTTGGGCTTCGACAAGAGGTAGTGGTACGTGTTGCGACCGATGCGGGTGTAGTGTCGGGTGTGGTTGAAGCCCAGGTCATGACAGGCGACGGACCTTGCCGCCACAGTCACTGCCAGTACCCATGACAAGACAGAAAGGATGGCGAGAGATCTCATGATGGCTGCTCAAGTAAGGTTGAATCCCCTTTTGGGGAAAACGAGCGGCAGGGTGTGAGTTGATGATCAGGAGTCGGTCCTGAATGAGGGAGACCGCCTCTTAAGTGTTCCTGAATATGACAACGAACCGAAGAGAGAGACTCAACCATGAGAGGACCGATTGCGTTTCGATTCAATCGCAAGGAGAGTCAAATTCGGTCGCGACGCGATGCCAAGACTGTTTCTTCATCAGGCAATGCTTGCTAGGTGGTGTGTATGAGGGGGGGCCGAGGCAGAGGATGCAGCGTCTCCTGCACTTGGCCATGTCAGCAGTGGTTGTCAGTTGCCCCACCTCTAAAAAGGCAGGATGCTTGGTGTACAGCGCCATTCAGGCCTTGACATTACGATGCTCGCACATTTCAGTCGAGGGAACCAGTCGTGGGCAGATGAAAGGAGCACGTCCAGAGGAGGTGGCGTTGCTGTTGGTGGCTGGCAGTTCACGATTGGGCCCTCCTGCGGAGCTAATCGTTTTGAGCGATTGTTGCGAGATTTCACCAGCGTCGCTCTGGGATTCAGCGTCTTTTCTGCAGGATCCTGGTCGGCTGAGGTCCCTGGCTAAAAAGGTGTTTAAGATGAGATTCGCGAACCCACAAAAGGCGCGCGGGCCATTCCCGCCACCCGCCTTTCCCCGGCCCAGTAGCGGCCCCACCTGCCCAGACGGGACGGCATCAGCGGTGCCCGTGCCGGTGAGGGCATTCGGTCAGATGGATGTGATGGTAAGCTGGTGGCATTCATGAGCATTGCTGTACGTGCTTCAAGATGAAGAGAAGATCTTGGTAGCAGCTGAAGAGAGTTGACCGTCAATGACTCATCATGAAAGCCATGCCAGTGGCTGCCAGCGCGGGCAAGTCTCCAGACAAGTCGTACGTTCGAAAAGAGCGAGCTATATAGATATTGGTGAGTAGGGTTCCAAAACTAACCTTGGGTTAATTCGAACATTCATATCGAATGAGAGACTAGTGGCGTTTCACCGTTGGCTGGCTCACCCCAGCCAAACAACTGAGCAGCCCTACACAGGGCTTGTTGGAAATCCGGACCGAAAAGTCTTGACGATCCCTCCCCTCCCTGGTCAGCTTCTGGATCGACTCTACCTGGGGTTCGGGCAACTTGGGGACCGGAGGTTAATCAAAATTGACAGTTGACAGGTGGACAAGGACCCACGTGGTGATCCGACACACAGATCACAACACAGCCATTGCTTTTCTCATGCCGGCTGTGCCTCAAATGCCACATGTAACAAGCTGCATATTGTTTTGTATGTACAATGGGTTGATGTTTCTTCGCAGATGCAACTCATGACAACAGACGCCAAGTCTACCAAGGCCAGGTTGATCAAATGCAAGGACAACAGCTGACTCACAAGTGTGGCGGCAAGCAAGTCGTCAGCATGGAGAAATCACGTCACTCAATAGGTATGAGCAAGCCAAAAGGCCTAGTGGAGGGAGAAGATAAACATGATCTATTCCACAACACACTAGCATATCTCTCATCAAGTCGCAATCATTGGTAAGCTGAGACTGGACAACAGACTTTCAACTTGACTAAACACAACAAAAATGGGCAAAACTTGTACACACACATATTGACAGCAATTCATCTATTCGCAACGGGCTCTGTCGCCATTATGTAAAAGGGTAATATGTACTCTGAAAACTCTGACGAAAATCTCATCTACTTATTTTTTTGTTTTCCCCAGCCCAATAAACATTATCCGAGTGAACATCCGCCTCTTAGACGCCAACACAGACGTTCGTCTCGGCCCACATGGTGCGGCAGTCAGAGCCAACACCAGTGTTCCACTTGACAAAGTCAGCAAGGGTGATCTTCTGGAAGCTGATGACCTGCTGGCACGTGACGCCCTGGGCGATCCAGTGGAATTTCTTGCAGTTGGACACCATGCCGGGCTGGATGGGCTGAGGCGTCGCGATGCCGTTGCCCGTCTGCGTGGGCGTGGGGTTGCCGCCGATGAGGCCGACGCAGACGTTCACCTCGGCCTGCATGCCCGTGCAGTCCGACTTGACCGTCGGGTTGAAGCTGACAAACTGCTCAAGGGTGATCTTCTGGTAGCTGTAGATCTGGTTGCACGTAACACCCTTGGCAACCCAGTGGAACTTGGCACAGTTGGTCACCATGCCAGGCTGCGTCGGCTGGGGCGTCGACACGCCGTTGCCGGGGGCCGTGGTGGTAGGGGGCCGCGTCGTCGTGGGCGTGGTGCCGGCGATGAGACCGACGCAGACTTGGACCTCGGAACAGTCGCTCAGGACGCTGGGGTTCCACTTGACAAAATCGGCGAGGGAAATCTTCTGGAAGCTAATGACCTGTTGGCAGGTGACACCCTTGGCAATCCAGTGGAACTTGTTGCAGTTGGTCACCATGCTGGGCTGAGTGGGCTGAGGCGTGACGACGCCGTTCTGGGCGCCGTGGTCGTGGCTTGGCCGTGTCGGTGGAGCTGCCGACGACGCCGACGCAGACGTTGACACCGGCCCACATGCCGGAAGCAATCGCTCTTGACCGAAGGGTTCCACTGACAAAGTCGGCGAGCGGGATCTTCTGGAAGCTGATGACTTGGGCTGCAGCTGACGCCCTCGGCAATCCAGTGGAACTTGTTGCAGTTGGTCACCATGCCGGACTGGGTGGGCTGGGGCGTGGCGATGCCGTTGGCAAACGTTGTCGTCGTCGCGGTCGGCTGCGTCGTCGTCGTGGCAGCGCGAGTGGTCGTGGTGACCTCGATGGGCTCGGGCTCACCGAAGGCCTCAACGCAGTACGAGTTGCCTGCCTTGATGCCGGAGCAGTCTGCGCCAACGGTGGGATTCTGTTTCTTCGCGTCGGTACTTGTATACACAGGACTGTGGGAAAATAACGAACCCATCGCGCAAAGTCCTTCAGGAAACGACGTTGTCCTCGAGGACACGCGAGCACGACTTGTCACCCTCGTAGTCCACCCAGTACGAACAGTAGGAACTGGTGCCGGCAGCGGGAGGATACTTGGGTTCCGGGCCCCTGCGGGCCGAGACGGATGCGACCGCGGCGGCGGCCAGCAAAAGGCTGCACTTGATGAAAGACATCGTGAAGAAGAGGATCAACCCAGACTGGGGGAAGTCGATGATACGGAGGTGCTGTAGCGACTGACGTTTTTGACAGGTGAGAATGAGCCTAAAGGAGGGAGATCATGACGCGGAAGAAAGCCACGAGGGATCGACCTGTCTAATTATACACCGGTCACTTGAGATCATTCGAGGAAAAATTGTCGTCTCGTGGTGGTGTTCTGGATTCACTCAGACGAGATACGGAAATGGGGTTCATGGTTCAGACTCCTTCTCGCCGCGGAGCCGACAGGGGGTTCATACGACTCCCTGCTCCGCAACGGTCCCGCCGACAACCGAAGTGGCACACCCGGGTCTAGGCAGCAGAGATGCACCGTTGCATTGCAGGAGGACCCCTAGATCAATGATCATGCGTCCGGCGTGCATTCAACCGGCGGAAGGATCACCTTCATACCTGCTAGCACAACATCCGGTCGAAGGATTCGGGACAGACAGAGGGAGGAGAAAAGCCTCAAAGTCTAGGCCTGGGTTCGGAACTGTGCTTAATTGAACCTGTTCAAGCCTTGATGTGTCTATTATAAGGTCCGTGACTAAGGCCAAATCAGAAGGTGCACCGAGCTCGAAATTGCTCGCTTTCAGCTTGGCCGATCAACAAGGTTTCTTCTCTGCTTGTCTGATATCGAGAGAACCACAACTGAGAGCTTTCGGTCATGCCCGTCTGGCATGTGACCATGCACTCAGAACACGACGGGGTTTCTCCATGGGGCAATGCTCATTCCCGTGACGCTTGAACCTACGTTTAGGATTCCATGAGACGATTGAGGTCCCACTTTGCCACCTTGAAGGATTCTGCGAATTTAGAGGAAGCCCCTCCGAGACAGATGTCTCTTGGAGGAAGTGGTTGAGGGGCAGTGAGTTCGGCCACGACGCGGAATCAGATTGGCTTCACGCACTTGAGATTTGCTGTATCCTTGACAGAAGAGCGAGTCGGGTGGAGAGACGGTTCATATTGGGTTCATTCAGAGGTCGTACGTTTACGCCATTGAAATGCGACAGAAAACCCTCCTGAGTTCTGGGGCTCTGTACGACGTTGGAAAACAAGCAAAACATTGGATGAAGCGGCCAGGCATATGCTACTTGATAGGAAAAGCGACCATACAGCCCAATCAAGTCGCAACCAACACTGTCGTGACATACATCCAAGGTAGACAAGGCAACAACCACCACCGCTCAGCTAGAGCAGTATCATGACGTCCATGAGTTGGCCTTGGGCGCTTCTGATACCCTTCTCGAGGGTGTCAGGGCTCATGAGACTGGCTGGGCGTCGGCTACCATTTGGCCGAGGAGGGTCAAGAGGGAAGGAAAATCATAGCAATGACATTGTTGTAAGGAGATTTAGCGGACTATATACTACGGAAGAGTTTCGATTATGAAACCTGTCTAGAGGCAACTTTGAGATTGATGGTTGTTCTCGTTCCTCATCTTGAGGCTTCTACGACTCTGGCTCTGTCTAGGGATCGGCGGGCTTCTTATAGCCACAACCAGAAGCAGCGCCCGAAGCACTGCTCTGCTGTCTCTCGTGGTTTATCTTGAGCACCCAAACCTGCTTTCGCACGTTCTCGTGCTTGACGTTCTGCTCATCACCAAAGATCCACAGTGTTTTGCCGTTCTCGTCCACGCCTTTGGTGCCAAACTCCTTCGCCATCTCCTTCATTCGCGTCTGAAGACCCTCTCGGAATTGCTTCTTGGCATTCTTCTTGATAGTGTCCGAAGTTGCGGCCGAGTCAAACGCCGTGTACTTGTACGGCACCATTTGGTTTGCATTATCGGGATCAGGCATCTGGTTGAAGTAGACTGTCTCGTCGCCGCCCTTCCTGATATTCTCAGCAGGTGTTACACTTTTGGTCTTGATCCACTTTCTCGAGAACGAGGAACCCATGCCCTGTTTCTGGGCAGCGGCTACGAGGTCTTTGCCGATGCCGTCCTGCTTGAAAGGCTCTATTTCAATGGTGCGGCCCACGTGCGACTCACGCAGGCAGGGTTTCATGTTGTTGAAATAGCCGGCACCGCGGGCCGGATCGAGTTCGTAAAGCTCGGCAGCGCGCTTGCCGAGGATCTTCAGCACATTGTCGAAATAGAAGTAGGGGTTCTTGGCGTTGAGGCCTTCGCCCTTGCTTGAGGCTCCCAGCATCTTGTGAAGGTCGAAGTCGCTGAAGGTGTATCTTGCGGGCGTGGGGGTGTCGCTGTCGACCGGCATGAGCTGCCCGCTATCGGGCGGGAAACGAGGCAGGTTTTTAACCTCCAGAAGCGTCGGCATCCAGTCGTCGGCGATTCGACTCTGATGGTTGTTGCGCGGGTAGTTGGAGCCCGTTCCCTGGGCCATGCGTATGAAGGCATGGAAGTTAAGGCCGTAGTGGTTGCCGCGCCCGTTGGGATAATCCCTGGGCTCCGTGCTGTCACCGAGGTAGCGGCCAAGCTTCCAAGGCACACCTCGCGTGTCGCCTGGCCCCGACCAAGATCCGTCGGCGAGCGCTCTGGCGGCGCTGATCTCGACGTCCATGCGGTAGACGTTGTAAATGTAGAGAGCCTCAGCACCGCGGACGCTCATTCCTGCGTGAACCATTCTGACCGTGGCACCGAGGATGGCCACGATCAGAGACGGCGCATTGAACCTCATGGTGAAGAGAAGTAAGAAAGAAGCAAGAAATGAGAGGAATCACCCAAGCGAGGGGTTGATAGAATGAGACAAGCAGGTCGTCAAAGGTCAGTCGGTCCTTCGAGTCAGGAACTTGACTTGCAAAAGCATCTACATCATGGCACAGGATGGAGGCGGCGTTGATGGCGGCAAACATATTTATCACCCTTGAAGGTCACCGAACGTCCAGGCGAAGGCCCACGCGGACCGGACGCCTATTCTCCCGGGTCGATGCCTCATGCAGGCCTTGCCTTGACAATTTCTCCAATCCTTCGAGGGTTCAAGCACAAAAAAAAAGGACGTCAGCCCCTTTCGCATTTCGCAGTATTATTCCGAGAGCCAGATGTAGGATGCGGTTCTATGGACAGCCGAGAGTAGGGCAGGGGCAGGACGAGGGATAGAACAGGGGGTTCAAAGGCCGTAAGCGATCTCAGAACTTACAGATTGGGGGATGCGGACCCTGACCCTTGTAACTTTCATTGATGGCCCCCGGCTGTAAGAATAAGGTGACACCAGCACAACTGACCATGTGTGTCGCTGATGAGTTCTGGTTGTAAATTTGTCTTCTCTGCAAGGCCATACCTTTGCCTTGAAGAATCCCATGCCAGAATCTCCAATTCTCGATCCCCAGAACCCCATACC